TTTTAAGACAGGATTTTTTTTTTTTAATAGAATTTTTCTAACTTTTGGGACAATCTGGTCTGATTATTTTCCTACGATTTTGAAGACAGAACAGGAGAGTTGTGATTAATTTTCATAGTGAGCATCAGATAAAAATCTGATATGGTATAATTTTTAATGTTTAGACACATTATTTCTATTTTAAAGGTTCAAAGGACAAAAATTTGATTAATGGGTGAAAAATCAGAAAAAAATAAAACTCTCCTATAGTTGATGCTTACAACAAGAATTAAAATATAAACATTTCCAATTACAGGAAAAAGTCAGTCTTAAAATTATTAAATTGTTACTTTAACTTTTGTTTATTTTCATTGTAAAGACATAGAGACATAGATTGGTAGTTTGGATGTAGACAGTCTACAGACCACCACACTGTCTGGACGCTACAGCTGACTAGAACTAGAGGATCAGATACTCACTGCGTGTTTCACTGCTTATTGATAAGCTGTCTATCTCTGCAGACAAACCGGACTCCGTGGGCTTTGTCCTGTTAGCACACGGGATAATGGGGATTGCAAACGGGTAGAACGACTGCACTAGCGAGGGCTGTAAACTGGGAAAGGCTAGGCTACGTACTAAATGGCCATTTGGTTTGTTGGGATAAAAACAGGAAGAAACAAACTTCTGATGGACTTAAAACTTTTTTTGGCAACAAAATAAACAATTAACCCATTTTACAATAGAACAACCTAAAAACAATCATGCAAGCTTTTTAATAAACGGTAATAGAATTCCCAAAAGTTTAAAAAGCAATCAACTACACTTAGTTTCCAAGTTTAAAGACGTTTTTCTTCCATCCAGGAAGCTTTTTCAATTCAAAATGTCAGAAATAGTGTTAAACTTTAACCTAATTTAGCCACAGTGTTGTGTAAATATGCCTGATAAACGTGAATATTCTGCTGTTAGAGTAGATATCATGACTCATCAATGTGGAAAAGTGTGACACACAGCATTGCTGCTGTAACATCTCTGGCATATTTTCTCCTTTGCTCTACTTTCCTTAAAGCATCACTTTTATCGATTAACTTCCAATATTATTGTTATTTTTGTGTGTTTCTGTATTTGATGTCTTTAAACAGCGTCCTTGGCGAGTCAGTAGGAAGTGATGCTGCCATGAAACCAAATATATGCAGATGCATTTCTACTAGAATGTGCAAGAAATCTCAAAATGAACTTCTACTGTAGCAGAATAGTCACTTTTATTTAGTGGGCCCACAGCATTACAGATCCTCCACCGTGCTGAACTGCAGAAATCAGGTCTTCTTTCTACATAATCAGTATTTTTAATATGCGTTCAATTCTTATTTTTATGTCCAATTTGGGTCACAGAATATTTTATTCCCCCTGGGAAACAAGAAGTCATGGAAATGTAAATAACAGTTCCTGTAAACTTTGACTAACCCCAAAAAGTATATATATATAAAATTGATAAAAAATAAAATAATAATAACATTTTGTTAATAATAGAGATGATGCTGCCAAATTTAACTGCATCCCTCAAAGTCCTATCATATAATAACCAGCGATCTTTACTAAAGGTGAACAGGAGACAGTAAAAAAAATGACGGCAACAACCTTCCATGGTAGAAAACAAATAGCTGATAATAGTGAACAGTTTTCCTGGCCGCATTAAATGACTGATTGCTCACTAATGCCAACAAAACGGGACTAAAACGGAGCTGGATGGTGAAAGTCTGACCCAGATACCCAGATTACAGAGCCCAGTCCAGCTGCAGCCAAGGATGTATGGCATCCATTATGCAAAGAGAGAGATCAGGACAAAAGGCAGCAGAAAGTCGGGGAGTCGGCCCCCGCCCCCATGCAGGACACACACCCTCACACCATGGTACATCCACTGACTGGGTTTTAAATGATAATCTGTCTGTATTCTGGGATTAGAGCTCTGACACGAAAAGGAAACTGAAAGGCACGACAAATTAAAAGATTTAAAAGGTTTAAAACATATTAAAAGGAAAATTTGTTCAATTCTGATGCAGATTAACGGCAATTATTGTTTTTATTCATTTTAAACGTCTACATGCCCTGAAGAACTGAATGAAGTAATTATTTATCTGCTGAATGAGTAGTTTTAACAACTTAAAAGAAGAAAACGACACTGTCTTTATTAAATATC